CAACAAAAACAACAAGACTACACCAACACAAAAAGAAGCACCAATATTATTATCATAAGCAGAAGATGAAATCATTTGTCAGTTACATACGCTGTGAGGGACGAAAAAAAAATCTATATGTTTCAACGAAATTTTTCGTCGTCATTTCCGTTTGAGGGTACAAAATTATTATACCGATTAATAATTAATTCTGTGAACCAGAATCAAAGTGTGTGTGAGAGAGAGAACGTCTGGACGATTTTTCAGAAAATTCAATATCGCAAAAGAAGAGCAACGTGTAATGCATAATTGACAGTTCATTGTACCAGGGTAGACCCAAACGTGTATATGTTTCTCTATATTTAGTATAAAATGACGACAAACTTTTGCTCATTATTTGCTTAGTCGCTTCCAATCAGTCGCTTGCCATCCCAAGAGAATTGGTCAAGTAATACTGTTCTTTTTATTCCCGCAGTCAACATTGACAAGAAAAAAAAAATAATGGCGGTTTCCACAAAAAAGACAGAAAAATACGTACTTTTTTAGCATCTAGAGCAATGTTTCCGCCATAATTAAATCATTCCCCTGTCAATAGTCGACCATGAAATCGTGTCATTGTTTAAAAGCACACATTTCATGTATATGATTTATTTTTATTTATTTATTAACTTAATAATGTGTATTGGATCCATTTATGCATTCTTATCATATGGTGGATCATAATTTAAATGCTAAAAAACCGTTACAACTGTGCTTTAATGTAAAATGCAATTTTTCATTGTACGAACAGAAACGCATTAAAACTGATGGCCAGACTGAATTCATGCCAATCCCCTTTGGAATCACGATTTATTCAGATTAAATATGCTCTAATCCAATGCAATGCCGGAAAAAAGTTGAATGATTTGTTGTTCAATGATGTCATAATTCAAGTATCACTATGCTTGACTGAAATCGATTTGATTTGTGTAGCAGAATGTTTGATAAATGATTGAAAATCCCTCATGTCAAATATTTGATTAATAAATATTTTTAGAGTTTAGGTGTTGATTTGAGAATTTGAAGGGGGTAATTTTGAAAGTACCATCTATCAAATGCCCTGGGGGAAGAATTTCGGTCAAAATCGAAAGATATGACTGAAATACATTGAATTAACTTTCTAGAAGAAAAAAAAATGAAATTCTGCATTATCTTCTACGGAAATTCAACCAATATTAAATCAGAATAAAACTATTTCGAAATGAGAAAAATTGTTTGTAATTTTATGTGATCACTGAAACGGAATGCAATATTGTTCATCTCAATGGGAAAAAATAAAGCGAAAAAGTGGATGGTATAATAATCGTGCTTCTTATATCAATTTTGAACAAAAAAAAAAAAGAGAAGAAGATACATTGTGTGTATGCGTGTTTGGTAAACATATGACACAAATCAACAATGGAACCAATCTTATTAATTGCTAACCATTTTTGCAATTAATCACTTCTTCCGCACAACGTTTTACTAAATTAAAATAAAACGCCGGCTAGACTATTATAAACATACCCAGACATTTATAAAAAGTGTTCCGAGTCGAATAAAATGCCATATGTTTGTATGTTGAAATGGTCGATGGTTGACGGTGGTTGTTTGTTTATGTATTATGTAGATGTTCATCGGCAAAATTCAAGCCATTGTTTTTTCTTTCAATTTTGCTTCGCATTCCGTTCACTCTGATATATCGCTTATTAATCTGGGTCTCGGATAATACTTTAATTACAAGTAAATTGAGTTGTTCGTGTTGTCTGTGCTCGCTCTTGCATTATAATCGTTTTGTCATTGTTTAACTTTGCAACTGACAACAACAGAGCGAATTCATATAAAGTTATGGACATTCTCTCCATCCGTTCGCTTTTATCCACTACAATCTCTCATTCGCATTTGGTGTTCGTTTATCGTTTGCAATTGTTGATACTTTTATTATTATTTCTATTATCATTGAACCCCACATCGATTTCGAGAAGTGTCGATATTCACCAAATGGAATGTGCATCATAATGCATCAAAAACCAATTGCAATTTCATTTTGAGTGTCAGACTAGATACACGACGCCATTAGTTGCTGTGCAAACGCGACAGCTTCTTACAATATCTGCAAATTAATATCCATGCTATAAATTTTAATGATTCACTTCATTTGTTGTTGTTGTTGTTATTTTGTTGGAAAATTGCAACCCAATTTTCTTGATATAATTTCTCGACTTGCTCTAGCAAGTTCCTTGTTCCTTTGCTCATGAAGTCGTACGAGGAGGCATATGTTTGAATATGTGTGCCATTGTTACTGACTTGTAGCACTCTTATAAATCAGCTGGAATGAACAAGGAAAACCAATTAGATCCAATATTTCTATGACAGTGAACAAAAACGTTTGTCAATTTACGGTGCAGCTGCAATATTTACTGACGACATTATAATTTAACACTTAATTTACGATGTAAATTTCAAAATCTGATCTAAAGCTGCAGACTGCATCATATCGTTGCTATCGTTGCTATTGTTGTCTTCGTTAACGACGATAATATCATATCTTGCCGGGAAATTTCCATTATAGTCTATTTTAATTCATTCGCTTAATCTACTCATCAAGGCTTTTTTTTTGGAACCATCATATTTCGGTCGTAAGCAAGTCGAAGTGAAATGAATCCAAAAATCCCTCCAATTTGAGCACAATAAGATTTTCAAAATGATGAAGAATGTCGGTGTTTTAACATAAATCTCGTCTTGACTTCAAACATTGATTCATATAATCAATTTTGGTATAATAAAAAAAATGTACGGATTGAAGAATGGAATGTTGCCAAAAAACACTTAAGTACATAACACAGAGGAATTGTTTGCGCTTTTGCGCTCAATTTATGTGCGAAAAAGTTGTAACAAAGTCTTGTGTGTGCATCATATGATCGTATGAATTACAATCATATCCACATAAAAAAAATTCGATGCTCGGCGAAAATAAATTATGCCAAAGTTTTTATTATCGCCTTGGCCGGCGCTCGCTTGCTTCCTAACTAGATTTGAAAATCCATGTTGTATATCATCGACAACACACACTGGCCTTTGTTTGGAGCATCCAAATGATGTACTAACATCAAAATTAATATTTACACACTTTCTCTGCGTGCGAGTGTGTATGTGGATGAGATGGAGTCGGGGAGTTAATATAAGATCTTCATAATATGCCACCATGTAAAACTGTGTGTCATAAAAACTTCATGTGAAACGGGCATTTGATAAGTTTACGAATTTGATTGTGCTTGTGTCCTTTGTGTTTATTTCAGTTTTAATGGGACGAATGAAATTGAATGTCAACTGTTCATATCAAAATAAGAAAAATACACATTTGTTGTCGGCACTCGGCAGATACCCACAAAATGTGCTCAATTTCCTCTCTATAATATTACATTATATGAGAATTTAATACAAGAGGAGCTTAATGTAATAAAAACAATAATAATAATAAAAAAAGATAGATTTACTTGTATGTATGTCACCTATCAAATAATAAGTGCGTATCGAAAAATCCAATAGGTTTTCTCCTTTTTCTCTCTGATACGTACAAACCATGAAAGCCAGAGTTCAAACAGTGAATGAAACATCTATTATATATGAACTTTATATAATTTGTATGAAATTATGAACAATATGGGTTTTACGCACTAAAAAGCAATAAAATGAAAGCTACTTCTCGCGTGAATACCAAAACAAACAAAGAGAGAGAGAGAGAGAGAGAGAGAGAGAGAGAGAGAGAGAGAGAGAGAGATATTTACAATATAATGAAAGCAATAATAAAAATCCGAGATTGAGTGTAAATGCGAGTGAGGGATGTGCATTTTTCAAAATATCTCGCTCTCAGTACCATAGGAAACAACCAATAAAAAATAATAAAATGAACATTTTCCACATAACAATTGTAAGATTCGTGCGACCAACAGTCATAATATTTGAATATTTTTCGCAATGTGAACCATACGGGATAGTAAATGATAACAGTGGATTTGTGTGTCACACTAAATCCACAAAAATCCATGCTCATTAAAACATTGTTGTACATGTGTGAATATTTTAGTGCTCTCAGATGGCTACCACGGCTCGTTCAACGTCCATATCCAAACACTTGCAATTGTCATTAAAACAATGTAAATATTATGCCAATTGTTGGTCAACACAATGGCAAAACGAATATAATGGCAATTGTGCAATGTTTCCGCACATTATGGCAGTCGATTGTAACACGTTTCACTAATAAAAATCAATTTATCATCCACATTGAAATCAAATTAAATGCCCATCAGAAAACCAACAAACCGTATTTATGCGTGAAATTTTCTTTCCAATAAACGAATAAATAAAAAGAAAATTTCATTAACGATCTCTGAATCACGCTAATATTATTTCAACACACCTACAAACGATATGTCTGTCCGAACAAAAGAATATGCAAAACAAAAAACAAACGGAATTTTCATTTTAACCGTCTGCAATTGCTTTAAATTCACAACGAATATTACAACAACAACAACATTTCAATTTGAAATGAAAACAATCGGTGTATGCTGTGCATTGATGTATATACCACACACGCACGCACCAAAAATTAAAATAAATTCACTTTTGCACATCAAATGTAATTTTGGTTGATGCATTATCCTGGATAAATAATTTTATGCACACACACACACTTTCTTTCTCTCTCTCTCAATATTTCGAAATTAATTTTTGGTCGACGTTGAATGAGCATAAACTAGATTTAGAACTTTAGATCGAATCAATGTTCGTTTATAATTCTACAACCGACAAGTGTGTCGGCTCACCGTACCACCTATAGTCGTCTCTTTTGTGCGCATATTCGTTCGTTCGATAACAAGCAACTGTCAGTTTCTACTGTATAAACGGGGAATTTTGTGTTGGGAATGATATTTCTATATGTGTGCGTACCAAAATGGCGACACAGCCAAAGACGACAGCTACACTCTCTGCGTATGTTTATTTGTAAGAACGTTTTTGCTATTTGCATTTTTGACACAAACATCAAATGAATTTCGTTTGACTTTGACCGAAACTTGTTTGTCCTTTTGGAGATTGAGTTTTATTACTTTCTTTTAAAAAAATCGATCCAGTTTCAATCGATTCGATACTATTGTTACCTTTTTATCCATCATCATAAAAGAGACGCAATAGAATACATTTGAAATCAGATAATAAATTCCATCAAAAATAATTCAAGACCGAAGGACTTGTGTAATAAAATATCTTGTCTCTCTTTGTTCAAATGAGAAAAATCCCCTCAAAAGGTGAATATATAGCAAGTGTTTGTTTTTTTTTGGTGTGGTGTACAAAATGAAAAAAAAAAAAAAAAATCAAAAAGAAAATAGAGACAGTGAAAATGTTGTCAATATTCTGTAGAAAATTCGGAATTGATATGGAAGCAAAGTGGATGTTCTCGTTGCGTATGAGTGCATGGTTGAGCCTACAAAACAATCTTTCGCTTCAATAAAATTGTATTATCCATGGAAATTTATTGGAAGAGAGAATTTTTTTTATATCAAATACAATAACAAACACAATCATGCTACTAACAACCAATATTAAATATTGCGAGCGAGTTGTTTACTTGTAAACAAAAGCGAATTGCATAAATCACTTGGGTGCGAATCAAAACATTGCACACACGATATATCTATCATCTATTATAATAAAGTCTATTGATTTTTTTGTTAAATATCGTTGTACATTGTTATCAGTTCGTTTGAATTTGTTGATGCACCTGTGTGTATTTTGCCGGTAGTGTGTTTTTATTTTCAGTTGTCTGATATTTTGTGATGCAATGAAAAACAACAACACAAACGCGTATAAAAGTCAAAGTAGCGCGCGATAAACGAAATTACTATCATGTCAAAGTGATTTCGGATTTCATGTTTCTGTTTGCATTACGGACAATATATTCATTCTTCTTTTTTTTCGCTGAAACTGTTCACTTTCAATTGCAGGGAATTATCCGAAAGTGAATATGAAATCTTTTGAGTCTACTAAATTGTAATTGGAATATAAAACATAACCTCAAACTCTTACTCAGTCGCAGTTGTTTTATTGGAATTCCAATTTGCTTCTTATTTGAATTTCAATTGACTGTGGAATATTGACAAACAAATTCAAGTACACAATTTAATATAACTAATTATGTCCTCTCCCCTCAAAAAAAAAAAAAACTTTCCAATTTAGGATGGATGAATTCAATATGATAGAAGAACAACAATCCGAGGTGGCATATCAATCAGAAGTGATGACTAGCGTGAATGCAACTGCTGTTGATAATTGTGAATTGACATATTCACAGCAGCAAGAGCAGCAGCAGCAGCAGCAAGATCAACTGTTTACTGAAGATGCTGAATTTTCTGCACCGCAAGAAAAAACCATTGCAGACAAAGTCGACGAAGATGAAGATGAAATGGCACAAGCAGATGTGGTTGATGGTCAATCAGTCTCTGCCAATGTGGATGACAATCCACCAAATATCGTTGAAACAAATTCAAATGCACAAACTGAGACTGCTGATGATAAATGTGCGATGGATTCAAATGAATCTGAACACAATGTGAATGCAACCGTAACCGCCGCCGCTGTTACCAGTGATGAAACAAACGACGGCAACGGCGACGACGAAGAAAAAAAAATGAAAGAAGAAGAAGAAGCAGCCGAAGTGTCTAAAAGCGAAAATAATGGTGATGGCGGTGAAATGTTGGTAAAAAATGATCGAAAAAATGAGGATGAAATTGATACGAATCAATGTCGGATTTGTATGTCCACCACTAATTTATTGGACATTTTTCGTATTGGTGAAAAGAGCAGCTTTCGATTTTGTGATTTAATTATGAAATTAGCACCATCGGTTAAAATAAGCGAACGTGATTATCTTCCTCATTCAATTTGCGGTGGTTGTGTGGATCGAATTGAAGCCGCATATGAATTACGCATCCAATGTGAAGAAACCGATAAATTTTTACGATCGAAATTAAAGCGTAGCAAAAAAACGCGTCGCACACCAGCTGAATTTGTGTTAATCGATTGTGCCGAATCGAGTAGCGATTCGGATGATGAGCAAAAGAGTGACGATGAATTTCAATTGTCCGAAGAAAGTGAAGATGAGAGCAGCGAATCGGACAGTGAATCTAGTTATGATGAAAAGAAAAAACGTATACCAAGCCAACGTGGTCGAAAACGTGGACCACCACCATCACGATCAAATGTCGTTGCATATCAATCACATTCAGCGAAAAAGTCCAAAAATAGCGGCATTGTATATATTAAAGCGAAAAAAAGTGAAGACGACGATGATTACGGTACGTCTATTACCACCGCACCCGGACCAAAATCAATGAAACGTTTACAAAGTGTCAAACCAGTGACAAATCGATTGCAATTCAGATGCGATGTTTGTAATCGAACTTGTACATCGGCCGAAACGTTAGCCCAACATAGACGCACCCATGCCGATGAAAGATGTAAAATTTGTTCTTTGGTATTCAAGCAACGTTCGGCATTGTTACAACATATGCAAAGACATCGTGAAGATCCAGAACGAATTTGTCAAAAGTGTCATCGTGTATTTGCAACAAAAATTGAATGTCAACGTCATTTTCAAACGACACATCCTGGTTCTACCGTCTCGGGTGCCGCCACATTGACATGCCATAAATGCAAACGATACTTTCCAAATAAACAACAATTTGAAACGCACAAATGCATCAATAGCGACACACGAAAGTCCAACGAAACAAATTTAAAACGAAAAAATGACACTGATACATCCGTTTCAGGGCGAGATCTCTTCAAATCAGTTGCACCACTCACAACAACATACTGGAGCGATAGTTTTTCTGACTAAAAATAAAACACTCACACCACACACACACACATACTACGGCCATGTGAAATATTTTGAAGTCGGGAGTAACATCTAAACATTTCAACTGCAATTGGTACAAAAATATTATATACATCATATGCAAAAATGTTTGTCCATATATGGGTTATATTTCTTTGTAAAAAAAATGTTGATAATATGTGTCCGCTTCCACTGGTTGTTCATTTGTGCTCCATTTGAGAGAAATTGATATTAAAATTGAAATTTCAAATTTAATTTAAATATATTCTTCCTTTCCTATGTCATTTTACATGCATTTTTATCTCTTGCCATTTTATTTTCGATGGCTATCAAAAACATCTCGAAAAATGGCATTCTGAAAAATAACAAATAAAAAAAATCGAAATCAATAAATGTCATAGATAATGGAACAATTGGTATCATTCGTAGAATATGATATATCATATAGTTGTGACAACTAGTTCAAAGGAACATCGTTTCTATCTAATCTTAAACGAATATCGAACGAACGATTCGTTGTCAACTATAATATAGCATAAGCAAAATTATTTGAATTTTGTGTCATACATGGAATCAAATCTGTACATTATGTCTTGAATTCATAGAATAAAATTTAATCAAAAATAAACATTTTTCATACATAAAAAAATCCGTTCGTTTCATTTGAGTACATTGAAATCTCAACGAAATACATTCATTATCTGGAACAAAGTTTAATGAAACGATTAATAATGTACTGAATAAGATGCAATTAAACTCTTCTTAAGAGCAAAACATTTCTTTTTTTTAATTTTCGACAGAACAATTTAATATTAAAATGGAGGATGAAATTTTAGACATTCAAAAAATAAATTGTAAATCCAAAGAAATAATGAAAAAAAAAATATCGGAAACTGTTGATTATTGCGAAATATAATTTATTTTAGCATACACTAACGTTATTTGATGTTCAGCATAATTTCGGATATAATTAGAGATAAATAAAATGTTTGTAATTTTTGATTTCGTTTTGTACATTTTTGTATTACGCTTCGGTGTTCGACGATGGCGAATTCATAAATTATGTGTGTTTATTACACAAAGTATAAACGAAATTAAAAAAAAGAGCAAATTCAGAAGAAATTCAATCAAAGAAATGTAAATGCTAGGGGCAAACTACTTCACTTTCGTAATTCTCATAATTCAATCTAGTACTCCGATAATTCCAAAAAATTCTATATAATTCCATACAATGCCACATAATTCCAAACAGTTTTTGAAGTATTTCAAATAGTTGTTTATTTACACAGAATTTTTAAATGAATATTATTATTTCAACGATAATATTTTTCGATATTTTTTATATTTTCATAAATATATTTTCATACTTGTATATCACATCAATGATACCGGTTCGACATTTCTCATACAAACAGATTTCGGAGAGTTATTTTGAATTGGTTTCATTTGTATGTGATTGAAACGAAGGGAACGTTCCGAAAATGATTTGTACGACAATGTGTGTGTACGTGAAGAGCGATGCTTTGAATGTATGAGTATACAACGTCGCTGCTATGCAAATTGTACAACACATCGTGCAAACAATTTTCGAAACGATTCGTTCAGTAAATGAAGCCAATAAAATAGTTTGGTTTCGGTTGTATATACTTGCATAAAAATATATTTATGAAAATTAAAAAAATATCGAAAAATATTATCGTTGAAATAATATTATTCATACAAAAATTCTGTGTAAATAAACAACTATTTAAAATACTTCAAAAACTGTTTGGAATTATGTGGCATTGTATGGAATTATATAGAATTTTTTGGAATTATCGGAGTACTAGATTGAATTATAAGAATTACGAAAGTGAAGTAGTTTGCCCCTTGTGTAAATGATTGCTGGGTGGCGTATATCAAACTATATATGCTGTGTTCATCCAATCTATGCAGATATATGTACAAATGTATATGATATACATCCACATTTTATTCGAAATCACATAGAATCTAAAGCATTCATGCATGTACATACTTATATCTATATTCTCTGGCGTTGGTATTTCAACCTCAAAAATGTGTTACCATTAACGACGTTACTGTTTACCAAATGCAAATAACTTTATTTCATCATCCTGTATAAATGTGCTTTGCTTGCATTTGTTCACATTTTTCGAATACATTATCATTATAATAATCATCATCTGCTTATTTTTCCTCTTCGTTTGTCGCATTTTCCATTTCCATGTGTATTTTATATTTATCTTCTATTGGGTAAAATAGTGTCGAGTTCAAACCAAAGCTTATTAGAGTACAAATGTTCACATCAACATTTAAAGAAAAAATGTGTTATGACTTCAGAAATATACAATGGACACATTCGATGTCTGCTGCGCCAAAGTCGAAAAGGCTTACACCTGGATATTCGATCGGGTAGTATTTCATTGCAATAATGATATTGTAAAATAATTGTGATACATTCCGTCTGTGATCAGACGGTGAATAAATAAATAAGTAGAATAAAATTACATTTCCGTTCCAAAGCCCTAATTCACTGCAAAATTTACTTGAAGATCTACTGATTAGTTGGAAGGCGAGCATATAAGTGGCTCAGAGTGAATGATTGGAAGTGTTGCTGGTTATGTGTATGCTTAAAAGCACACAAGTAGCTCTCTGTAAGAGATAAAATCTAAAGCATGAAATCAATGTGAATGCAAACAGATTCGCGCAAGAAACGAGAAAGACATTTTTTTTTCGTTGTACTACACACAACAATTATTATCAGTTTCGCCGGAAAGCCGTGAGTCAAATAACAGACACAAACATATCCATGTCGATTGTCGACCCATCGCTAGACATGCCACACAAACGTGTTTGAAATGCTCTGTTAAAAGCCACTTAACTACTAGCCAGATTTATTTATCTTTTTTCATCGTCTCTGTGTGTGCTTGTGTGAATGTGAATCGGAGCTTTTATCAACGATGCATGCGATCATCATTGTTTTCATGAGAAAAGCGTAAAGTATTTGTTTGAAATGGTTTTTCATGCATTCAACAACAACAACAACAACAACAACTGAACGCCATTCATGAAACGCATTTGACATATTGTTTATGGTTTTGTGTGTATGTGATGTATTTAAATCTGATGCTTACGAAGACTAACTATAGACATGGCATATAATTTCAAAATTGAATGAGTGTGCAAGAGGTGCGTACGCGAATCGAACAATTTCTATTTGCAATTCAATTCAATTCAATTCAATTCAATTGAATAGAGATGCTCCGAAAACGGCGACGAATGGGCGGTTGCATTATTCTTTTTCATTGAGAGAGAATGTGAGTGAGAGAGCAAGAGATTATCCCACGTGCCAAAAACGATTCACTTTATTCGCAGATGAATGAGTTTCCACAATTTGCTCATTTTAATCATATCCGATGGTTCCATATGTTTGGAATACGCTGTCTACACTCTTCTTTTTTTTCTGCTGTTTCGGCTCTTGTATTTTCATTTTTCTCTGAATTGCATCTTTCATTCGAACATTTTCCTTTCAACAACAAAAAAAAAAAAAAAAATTAGCAGGCATTTTTGAATACGCACTTCTATATTGTTTCCCTGGCATTTCGAATCTTTGCATACAATAAAAAACGGCTCGGAACTTTTCTATGATTTTTGGCTCTATTTGCTTTTGAAATGCTGTCGGTTAAAACCGCATTTCTTTTTTCTTCTCTCTACCCTACTATTCATTTTTCCGTTCATATTAATACATTTTCTATGTTCAAGCTCGTTCTTTTTTTCATCCATCAACTGGCATTTGAAGCGTATTCTACATTTTTGTTCTGCATTTGTCTTTGTTCTGTCATGTCTTTTATCTTTGCTCAAACTTTTCCAACCTCACTCTAATCCAACTTAAATATGTAATGAATGAAAATGTTGGACCTTTAACGGAACTAAATCAATGTGAAATACCAAACAATGTGTATGGAAGTTAAAGGTGTTCACGATTTGGTGCCTTTGTTCTACTTGAAACACATTTATTCTTTCGTTTAAATAACAAAAAAAAAAAAAACAACGAATCCCTGTAAAATATCAATTCATTTTCAGTTTTGGAACTGTTTTCCCCTTCGAGCTCGTTTATAAGCTGGGGGAGAGAACCAAAGCCTTTTAAATTGATTAAAGCAGCCGAGGTACAAGATCCACAATAGTCATCTCACAACCTAAAACATGCATAATATAACTAATGTAGTGGTATTGTATGTTTGGCTTTTACCCAATGAATGCCGGAGATATATATTTTTTTATACACATTGTGATGAATGAAATGCGTATTCTTTTGTGCGTATTTGATATCAATGACATTAAATGTTCGCAACTTTATCGATACTATCAGTGGTTTTTGCGATTGATAAAATGTTCACGCAAAGTAAATGTGCAATTTAGCAAACGAAAACCTTTTGTTAATGCGGTTTTCGTTTTCATTTCCGTTTCAATCCAAAACGAATCGACCCAATAGACGTGAACGACGAAACAAAAAAATATAACACAATTCATTCGATTGCAAATCGCGTGAAATAAGTTCCAGGATAAAATTGTGCTACTCAAATGGATTATTGTTGTTTCGAACAATTACAATGCAGCCATTGTGTGTAGCTTTCGCACTGACACACAGTTTTGAGCCATGATGGGCGGAGATTGGTTTGTATCCGATTACGATGAAATTAGAAGATCCTAATCAGAAATTGGGTTTGCTAGTTTTTGATCTTTTTCCAATATACTCATTAAATTCGGTCGTAGCTCATTTTTTTCTGTGGTTAGAAGCAAAATTTGTTTATATAAAGACGTGCGAAATGTGACTATTTCACTCAATTATTACGATTTGTAGACATTTTATCATCTGGCTTGACATTCAAGTATTATTTATCGCAATTTAGCCGATAATAATTCGATTTGAATTACCACAAAAATAAAATTCAATGTTCTTTTTCGGTGTTTCGGTAAAATATGATAAATATGGTCGTTTTGTAATGATTTTCCTGAATACGGCATAAAAGCACACGCCATTGAAATCACACGCGCGCACAATTCACTAACAGCCGAAATAAAATGATTTTATACGCGGAAAATATACACTTTTTCTCTTTTCATTCATTCTTACAAATTATATTTTATTGCATATTACATTGCAACAATTGAAAAATTGAAAAAAATCAACAACGTGAAATTATAGACCCAAATCTACCTATGTTACAAGTCACGCTTTTCAAGCATATTTCTGGTTTTGATTTTCATTAAAAACAATAAA